GGGTGCCCGGCCGTCGCAGAGGCGGGGTTTGACGGCATGTTAAATACTTCCCTTGAGCTCCGGTTTCCAACGGCTGGGGCATGGCTGGACCGAGGCGGCGGGAGTTTATCTAGGGCAAGGCGGAGGGCTGGCGGCACAGGAATGTCGGCGGAGGAAGGAAAGCCACCGCGAGAAGCACCATGTCTCTGTAAGTAGAGTTTTTTTCCATTGTTTTCCCTGCAGCTTAAGCAACAGTTTGGGAACCGTGCAGAAAGGAAGGATATCCAGCTAGCACAGATGTTTTTTTCTATTTTTTTTTTTTGCCTCCTTCTGCTTATTTTACAGTCAGGTTTTAAAGTTTTCCCAGTTCCAACGGTTGTGCCTGCGATTGCACAGAGAGGTCAGCGGGTTTCGGGAAGTAAATGTGATGAGAACAAGGAGCCAACAGCTCGTTCCTGTACCTGGCTACGTGCAGTTTTCACTACTTTTAAGTGCTGCTGGTGGGTTGAGCGGTCCAACTCCTCCTTTGTAGGTGTTTCGAAGTGAAACTTGTACCCCACGTGCGTTTCATACACTGCGTGTCAGCCAGTCTGGAGGTGACGTGCGAAGATAGGTGACTGAATGAATGGATTTCAAAGCCAGAGGCATGGTGGGTCCTCTCATGCGATCTCTCCAGCAGATAATTTAGCTACATGAACCACCTAATCTAACCCATCTACCTGCTGCAGATCCACGCAGGTTTTTTTCCCCAGGGAGCTGGACTGTGTAATTTTCCCACTGCACGGAGGAATTAGGTCTGAAACACAGGGAAGATGCAAAAATCCATTTTCTGTGCTTTGATAGTTGGCATTGCAAGGAGATGAGATGTAGTCTTTTCCTAGTACCACCTACTCATCAGCAAAAGCAATGTGAACAAATCCTTCCTTGGAAGCTTGTTTGCCTTATAATTGATTCCAAAATAGAATGGTGTACTAACCCCCGCAAGCAATTAAAGACGTTGAAATCTCATAGTAGAGTCTTTCTAGCCAGTGAGTCACAAAAAGCACTGGAAGTTTAACTGAACTGATTGTAGAAGAGTTTTTTTAAACTCATTTCCTTCAGCTCCTGCTTTCAAATACGGTGCCAGGAGAGTGGGTGGACAGACAGGAGTGTAACGTCAAGGTGTGATCATACACAGGGGCAACAGTGGGGTCCCAGGGGGGCAGAAACAGCTCGAGGCTGTTTCCTGCAGATGTTCCTGCAGATCCAGATGTGCAGAGGGCTGAGTCGCTGTGTCAATGGCAGGACCAACAGCTCAGGCTGGTGGCCGGTAACCAGAGGTGGTCTTCTGAAAGCAACAACCTGCCGCTTCTGTTATTTTGCAATTTCTTTCCTTTTCCTTGGCTCAGGAGGTTTGTGAGCGTTTTGAACCAATGTTATCGGGTGCTCCTTTCTAAAATGTGTCTCTCAGAGGAAACAGTGGGTGCTTTGCCAACCACCCTGACCAATACCAGAGCAAAACTTGAATATTTACTCCAAAAGCCATCATTACCTTGGTCAGACCCTCCCTGACCCCGCAAACAGCCGTTCAGAGCTGTGGGAATTGTGTCCTTGAGTAACACTTGCAAAACAGTAAATTATCCTCCGTGTAGACCTCATAAACCCTTTAGGTGAGCAACGAAATTATAAACGAACTGCTCTACAAGACATTTGAAGCCCATATTTTAGAACAATTTGGGGCTTGCAGCTAATTGGGGATGCAGATGGGAGCCAGTGGGTGGCTGAACACCCGCATGGGGCCAGCCAAGCTGGCGTCGATGTGTGCTCGATCCAAGCCCCAGCCCTGCCTCGGCCGGACCCGGATGCTCCGCAGACGGATGCACCGTGCCCCGCAGTGGGCTATCACTGCACCCAGCGGGGTCTTCCCTTCCCAGCCCCCCATCAGCTGGAGCTTGGCCGAGTGCCTAGATTAATCCTGCAAATCATTTAACGCCCCATTTTGCCTATGTCTGAATGGGGACACAAATCGGAGGAAGGGTTAAAGACGCTTTAGGGTATATCTACTTTAAAGAAGCAAAAAAGGCAGTCAAAGGGGATGCTTTCCTATCTCACCCCGACTAAACCCTATTTCCTCAATAAATAAAGAATAGCTCTGAGGGGGTCACATTCCACGTTCTTCTGCAGTGGCTGAATTGTCCGATCTGCAGCAGTGTTTCTGTACTGACCATTGGGTCCAAGGCATTGCTTTTAGGGCAGGAGACAGGGATTCTGGTCCCAGCAGCTTTGAGAGCTGTTGTTCTTCACCAGGTAAGTCGAGGGCAGAGAGGAGAACTTCCCCACCCCTTCTGGCTTATTTCCCAGCCTGGAGTGAGTTGTTTCTCTGCCTCAGTTTCTCCAGCTCCAGGACAAGAATAACACCATCTGCAGAGTGCTCCCACAGTCTCGGTCTGGCGTGTGAAGACTTGGGGGTTTGGGTTCGCAAGAGGATTTGTTTGATCTAGAAATAGCAGGGTTAGAAAATTCCATCTGCCTGCTCTCGAGAGCCCTCAACAGCAGAAGAATTTCGCTGCATCTTGAGCCTTGGACTGCGCTGCTACCTCCCGGGGCAGTGCAAAGGCGAGTGCTGAGCAAACCAGCACTGTTTGGCTCCTGTCCTAAGAAGCAGCTTGAGCAAAATCACATTCCAGAAAGGCTCAATGTGGAGAACAGAGCAAGGCACATTTCCCTTCTTGCTCTCACGTGGGGCTGTGCCCACGGCTGATGCTGGTGGCTGCTCCCACCCTGCGCCTGGTACTGGTGATGGGCTCAAAGCCCAGCTTGTGCCATGGAAATCCTAGGGCATAATTTCGTGTCTCCATATAAAAGTGGTGCAGAACCAGGTTAGGACCAGGCTCACGTCTCACGGCATCATTTTTCCTCCTGGATATTTACCTCCACTCAGCCATGCTCACCCAGCATGGAGGGGTAGGTCTGATGTCCATACCCTTTCAATGTATGCACAACAGCTCCTTTCTCTTCCTTTGCGTGATCGTGGAGGACCGCAGGGGAGTAGCCTGTGCCGGGCCAGCTACGGCAGAGCCATAACACACCGTTGCCATGTGCTACCCTGCGCCAACTCGCTCGTGTCCTTGCTCGTGTGCTTGGCTCCTACGGCTGCCACCAACACATCCACTCTTTGCTTCTGGGTGCAGTGGTAGGCGTCAGTTTGTGAGTGGGATCGGGCTCGTAGATGCTTAATTTACTGCCCACCATCAGGTGTCTGTGTGGAAACAAGGTGGGTAAACTCCGTAATGAGCTGGAGGATGATTCGGAAGAGGGATGCAGGGGAGCAGAAAGGATGAGCCCATTCTCTGCTGCCCGGGGGTTAGAGCCCCGCTGTTCCCCACCACAGTGCTCTTTGGATCTGGGTGCTTTCCCTGTTGCTCCCATCTCCAGGTACCTGCCACCGCTGCTGCCAGTCAAGCAGTAAAATTGCCTCCTGCTTTTACTGATGCCTGGGGTCACTCAAGGAGCTCGAGCTGAGGCCCCATTGCAAGTTAAGCTAAACACAATATGGTTATTACAAGCTCTTCCTCCCCAGCTGTCCAGGTCTTCTAATAAATGCATGGTTTCCTCTGAAAGCTTTTCAAGGTTTATTTTTAAAACAGCCTGCATTTGATTAAACATTTGTTTTGTTTTGTTTTGTTTTGTTTTTTCAAAGGGAGCTTGAAAGGGCCATCAGCCTGTAAACATAAATATTCCCATTCTTTTGCTGATTCTTTGCATTTTTCTGGGTTTGCTAATGAAAGATATTTCAGCAGTGCAAGTCCCTGTGATGTGGGCAGCATCCTCTACTCCCGCTTTCAGCTCAAGCGCTTGAGCCCATGGCATGCAAGCAAGAGATTATCACAAGTTAAGCACCTTTTTGCGCCTAGGTGTCTTCCATGGTGTCTTACGTTCACTTTTACAGCTGAGCAATGTCTTGAAACAGGCAACAAAGCAGGTAATGGTGAATCTAGTAGGTGCTGTGGCTTGTCACATTATTAATCTCTGTTTATCTAGGACCACCAGGTATCCCTGCCTCCGATTACGGTGGTGCAGCACTACGGTGGCTCGTTCTCCAATGCCACGCTCTCACGGTCAGCCCCACAGGACCTGGGGAGATGGGCTGCAGCAATGAAGGGTGCCTTTTTGAGACAAAATGACTTCATCTGTCACAGCCGTGCCAATGTCACGGCCGTATCGCTGCCTGCAGTCACAGGTGTTAACTTACAGCTGTATTTTTTATTTCCTCCTCTTCCTGCAGGTTATAACTGAGTAGCCCTTATGACCAACATGAGCTGGAGCTTTCTAACCCGCCTGCTAGAAGAGATTCACAATCACTCCACCTTCGTGGGGAAGGTCTGGCTCACCGTGCTCATCGTCTTCCGCATTGTCTTGACAGCGGTGGGTGGGGAGTCCATCTACTCTGATGAACAGAGCAAGTTCACCTGTAACACCAAGCAGCCCGGCTGCGACAACGTCTGTTACGATGCCTTCGCGCCGCTGTCACACGTCAGGTTCTGGGTCTTCCAGATCATCATGATATCCACCCCTTCGGTCATGTACCTGGGCTATGCCATCCATAGGATTGCCCGGTCAGCGGAGGAGGAGAAGAAGTTCAAAGGATTCAAGAAGAAGAAGCAGTTTGCTTTGAACTGGCAGGCAGTGCGCAACATGGAGGACCCGATGGAGGCTGACGAAGAGGAGCCCATGATCTCTGATGACACAGCAGAACACGAGAAAGCCAAAGCCAAGCCCAAGACCAAAGAGCAACAAAAGCATGATGGAAGGAGGCGTATCCAGCAAGAAGGACTGATGAAAATCTATGTCTTCCAGCTACTTACCAGAGCTTCGTTTGAAGTTTGCTTTTTGATAGGGCAGTATTTACTCTACGGTTTTGAGGTAGAAGCCTATTACGTCTGCAACAGAGTCCCTTGCCCTCACACTGTGGACTGCTTTGTGTCCCGGCCAACAGAGAAGACCATCTTTCTCCTGGTGATGTACGTCGTGAGCTGCCTGTGCTTATTGCTGAACATGTGTGAGATGTTTCACCTGGGGTTTGGGACCATCCGAGATGCCATTCGCAACCGGAAAATCAACAGCTTTAGGCAGCCTCCCTACAACTATGCCTACCCAAAGAACATCTCCTGCCCTCCTGAGTACAACCTGGTAGTGAAATCAGAGAAGTCCACCAAGATCCCCAACAGCCTGATGGCTCACGAGCAGAACTTGGCTAATGTCGCTCAGGAGCAGCAGTGCACCAGCCCAGATGAGAACCTCCCGGCAGACTTGTCCACCCTCCACAAACACTTGCGAGTGGCCCAGGAGCAGTTAGACATAGCATTTCAGAGCTACAGCAGCACCCAGGCCAACACACAACCTTCTCGAACCAGTAGTCCCGCCTCGGGTGGCACGGTGGTAGAGCAGAACAGGGCCAACACCGCCCAGGAGAAACAAGGTGCTAAACCCAAGGCCAGCTTGGAGAAAGGGAGCTCAAGCAGTAAAGATGGAAAGACGTCTGTATGGATATAGCTTCGTTGAAAAGGAGAGAAGGCAGCGAAAGTGGGGTTTTTATTTTGGTTTGTTTCTGGTTTTCGGTATTGTCTTGCGTTCATTTCACAGGGCACAGGCGCAATTTTTATATGGAAGTCAAGACTGAAAAGGAGTTTTGGACCAATTTAGTGCTGTCTTCCAGTGCGTTAAGAAAAGACATTTATTCCCTGTTTCCAACACATTCTCCAGCTGGGAACCTCCAGTGAGCAACAGCAACCCCCCACCACATCTCCCACCCCTTCGGTCACCACCGGAGCCCCCAACAGAGACTGGACAACGTGCTGTGATGGGACGCGGAGCTGCTGGTGGCTCAGGAGAGAAGTCAGGCCAACAGCGAGAAGCTCCCCTCCTGCATGGCAAGGCTAGAGTGTTGTAGTCAGGCAGTGCTTCATTACTAAATATCCTTAATCAAAATTAATTTCTGATCCCTTGATAAGAAAAGAAATCAACTGACGTATTGCATGAACCTTCATGTCACGCTTACAGCTGATGCCCTGCCTGAATTGTTAGAAGATGCTCGAGCAGGCATCACTGGAAACGAAGGCATCATTTGATGCTGCGAGCCCTGAGCTGGCACCCACATCAGGTTACGGGGCAGAAACACGACGACTGTCTTACACAGGGAGACCTAAAAGCACAGCACAACACTGAAGGTTTTTCGTCTTTTATTCCTCTGCATCGAAGCAAAAAACAAATACGATCAAACACTACGCAGCAGGAGCAAGCAGTGACATTGCGTTGTACCGGTGCCTGTGTAGCGCTTGCTACAGATGTGATGGGAGTCATTGCAGATACAGTGTTTTTAACAAACTGCTGCTTCACATCATCAGAAAGTGCCTTTATGCAACCAGGAAAACAAAATCATAAAGGGTTTAGACTTCTTTATTTGCTGAATTTTAGTAGAGATTGGAAGATCTGTGTTGGCAAATTTGTTTTTCTGTTTAATCAGACCCTTATAAATAAGTGGCAGACGGCAGATCTATGTGTGTATATGATGTGTGTGTGCGTACGTGTACGTATATGTACAGACACATATGAACACGTGTGTGTGAATATAGACATAGAGAGATATATATAAATGTAATATCAACCCTCTGGTAATTTTACAGCCTTCCACCTCCCTTGGGAAAATGCAGCTGGTCCAGGACTACGGCTGATCTCATCCTGGAGCAGTCTTTGGGCTTCTGGCCTCCAGCCTCACCTGGGGAACTGGCAGGCTTCACACACTTGCTTGGGGAGCTCGGCAGAAGATCTGGCTGCAGTGGGGACGGGGACAGGGCCAGGACAGTAGCAGGAAGTTTTTTCCCTAGTTTATGGGGAGCTTTTTTCAGCTTGGCTTAGTTTTAGCGTGGTTTTCATGCAGCTACAGGAGTCTGGGGGCATGTTAAAATCAAGCTGCTGAGCAGCAAGGCTCCTGCTAGTGCTGAGGATGTGCTTTGTCAGGGTGGTTTCATCCCATGTCTCTTGCACAGCTGTGAGGCTGTGGCTTTGTTCCCCTCCAGTAATACAAAATAGGAAGAAAACATCATCACTGGGAGCACAGGGAGCATCTCCTGCCAAATGGTAGAGGCTGAAACCAGTAACAGCCATGTATCAGAGCGGGTCTGATCCCTGAGATGTTCCCAAGATGCCTGTGGCTTGGGAGATGCTCTCGCAACCTCCCAAGACTCCAGTGGTTGATTCACCAGCATGGAGAACCCAAATAGGCAGAGCCTTTGAGTGAAGGCGAAAGAAGTAAATCCTCATGAACACAGCACTGTCCCTGTGCTGAGCTGTTCCCTCGGGGCTGTGCCAGCCACCCAAAGTCGCATGCAGGTCCCCGTGCCAGTATTTCTTATCCATTGGATCTACGTGACTTCTTGCTGGGCATCTTTCTCATGTCCTTGAGATCAGTCCCTGAAAGCCTTGAGAATGCCTGTTTCCCAGGTGGCTGGGCCCTTTGGCTGTTCTGGGGAGCAGGCAGAGAACTTGAGTATGGCCTTCATCTCCTGGGAACCTTGGCTGAGCTGTGCCATGCCATTACAGAACAGTGCTGGCAGCAAAAAAGTAGGTTTAAAAAGAAAGCAAAGACACATTCTACGAGGTATCCAGCTGCAAATATTCGGTATGGCTTTGTGTAACAGTCTGGGGAACACTTTTAGGCTTGTTCCTATAGGTGTTGGTAAAATGCCTGGAGTGCTGCCCGCTCTTACTGCTAGAGATCTTCCCCTCAACAATGGACAGCCGCATCTAGGAGGAGGATCAGTGCATCCCCCCCAGCAGCAATGGTCAGTAGTAACACACATCCATCGCGTGGAGGGATGGCCTTTCCATCGTGAATTTTGCACGAAAGGCTCAGAAAGTTCACACCAAGGAGGTGGGGAGACAACCATATCCAACTGCACTGTTTGTCCTTGTCCCACATGTGGGAATGTGTTCTCCTCCTGGGCTGGGGCTGTGCTGGGCAATGCAGGAGAGGCTGGTTGCTGATGGTGCTGCTGTCATGAAGATAAATGCATGCAGGTCCACAGCCCAGGGCTGCTGGGGAGGAGCAGAGGTGCTGCTGGGTGGAAATCTGCTCCCTAGTAATTACGGCTGTCCAGGGCACAAGCTTGTCCTCCACATCAATGTGACTTCTCTTTTATTGCCAGCCCTGTGTCCCATGGGAAATAGTGTGTATTTAAAGTTACGATTCCCAAGGGAAGAAGGGAAACTCTGAGGAGAGCGATGGTTGGGTGCTGCCTGGGGTTTTCTGATTCCTTTTTGATGAGCAGCAATATCACAGCCCTGGATAAATTTGTCTTTCCCACGCAATGCCGGAAGGCACTGTCCTATGCAGGAGTCCAGATTTTGGATTTCTCCTGCTTATACCAGCGACATCGCCCTCAGCCCCAGACACAGCCTGAGCATTTCCCAATCACTCAGATCGGTCCCCCGGCTCCTGCCGACCTGCAGATTCACCAGCGAGTCACCAAACACAGGGACGGGCATGTGCCTCCCTTGTTCCTGCTTCAGGAAACCATCCTAGCAAACGCCCCACCATGGGGAAAGCGGGGGACAGATTTTAAGCCAGAAACCCCACAACTTGGTCACAGGGACCTGATAGACTCATTAAACTCATTTTATGCAGCAGGGCTATACCCCCTTCCCCAGCAATACAGCTGGTCAGTGTCCGATGGGAGGAGATCCCAGGGCTCCATGGCTGCAAGTTCAGAGACACTTAAAGCAACAGGGCTGGAAAGGACCATGGATCTTCTTGCCAACTTGCAACCATCAAATGACTCCTTGACAGCTAACATGAACCACCCTCGCTGCAACCCCTGGCGTCTCCTCTCCTCAGCAGACATGGAGAACATCTCATGCCTTTAATATCCGCAGAAGCTTTTGGGTGTTTAAAGACTGTTTTCGTCCTCCTCAAGTCTGCTTTAAGCTAAACAACTCCAGTCTCATCAATGTTTCTCCAAGGGCTGCTTTTCTAGCACGGTTTTCCTTGGTGGCTTTGAACCACCACCAGCCAGTCCATGTCTTCCCAGCGGTGTGGCAGTGCTGGTCCTTGGGCCACCTTCCCATTCTGCTCCTCTTCATGTGCCCATCTGCCACCCCGGTCCCAAAACCCCATCTTCTGCAGGCATGGGGATTGCTCCCCTCTTCAGCTGTGTGCTTGTACAGTCGGGATCTTCCTGCTCTCCTTCAAATTGCCTTTTTATTTTCACATCACAGACCCAGTGCACCGAGGGGGTTCTGAATGATCTGTCTATCCTGCAGCAGATTTGCAGCCTCCTCCTGGCTGGTGTCACCATCCCGTTTAATACGCACACACTGTTTTCCATAGTGGGAGTCAATAATTGCAATATTGACGAGAACTAGAGCCAGGGCAGACTCTTGGGCGATCAATACAACCTCCTCGTCGCGCAGGGAGACAGGGTAACCTATCTCTCAGCCGTCCTTCCAGCCAGCCCCGCTCATCTATCAAGCTTGAAATGCTTCCTTGCATAAAATGCTTTCCGAATGGGAGCTGATCTTGCTTTCCCATATTTTCCAAGCATTTTGACAGGGACAGAAGCACGAGGGCACATTCCCAGCAGGACTTCTCCGGTGTCATGGGCTGCCTGGGAGAGATGCAGAGTTGCCTGGAAGGTCCCAGCTATCCTGGAGGACACTGCTGAGTCCCCTGACCCTGGGGAGAAGGGACCCCAATTCTCCCAGATCCCATCTGAGCCGCACACAGGAGCCAGCATGAGTCAGGCAGCCCTAGAAATATAAAGGATTATTATTATTATTATTATATACACTGAGTTGCTCACTTCCCCCCTTCCTCCTCCATTCCTTGGCCTCTAAAGCCTTTAGCATATTGTGTCTTTCCACCGAGTCACTACCACGAAGGCAACCGACATGTCTCTGCAGGAGTGACTCCTTTCGGGGCAGGAGCAAAAGTCCCTTCTTTTATCCTGTCGGTTTGGGAAGGAAAAGGATGGAGAGGCAAAATGTGCATAACCACAAGCAAAATCCCCATCACCATCAGTACAAACTAAACCAGCAGCTTGAGGAATTTCAATTAGACGATAGGCAGCGCCGGCCATGGAAGAAACGCCAGTAGTATAATTAATGCTTTGCCTTTTTTTTTTACAGGTTAGTAGTTTTGTTCACACAAAAGACGGGTTTAGCTTTGTAGCTGAACTAATCGTAAATGTTGATTCTCTTGCTAAACTGGGTTTGATAAAGTGCCCACGCTTATATTTCTATTCTTACCATTCAGGGCCAGGAATGTCCCACGTAAAAGCCAGATTACCTTGTTGCTTGCATTGCATTCCACTGGGAAATACTTGAACTTAACTCAAGGCCATAACCAGACTGTGCTGTTACAAAGTTTCTGGGATTGCTATTTTTTTTGTTGTTCATGTTTTTTATGTACTAACTGTATTTGTACTAGAAAGTTTTTGAGTATGAGGTTGAATTTGTAAGTATTTTTCAGTGTAAATGTTACATCTGGACTGTAGTTA